ATGTTTTACATGATTGAGCAACATTATGGCACCGACTCCCTATCTCCCGCTGCCTGCCTCCAGCCCTCTCCTGCTGCCCGCCAACTTTGATTCATTTGCCCGCGTGTCGTTGAACCGCCGCCCTGCATTGGGCATTTGTCATTTGTTGGGGATGAACTGATGAGTAGCTGCCGGTGCCGTCTGCCGGTGTCCATTGTTGCCCCCCGCCCCCATCTTTATTGTCGGCGCATCTATTTTAATACCAATTTTAGTTACCGTTTATGCGCATTTTTTGTTGTTGTGCACAATTCTTTGCAATTTGTTTTGATTTATGCGACGGTTGTCGTTCTATTCTTTATTTTGCCGCTTTTGTTGCGGCCACACATTTAGCCAGAGCCCGGCTCTGGCATAGTTTCCTTATCGTCCTTATCACAGTGACCATATTTTATTGCCATTTTTGTATGCCTCTCGGCCAGGCAGGCAGGTTGCCATTTGTGCTTGGCAGGCAAATTGAAAAGGCCTAGAACGGCCATTCGGGCCGAGGCCTGAATTGACAGCGAGTTTAATGAATTTCCAAGTTTTTCCTACATATAGCTTCTCTCTTTTTTCTATAAACATTTTCCGCTTGAGCTCGTTTTTGTTTATATATTTCGTTTGTGTCAGCAAAGTGTGAACATAAAACAAATTCCAGCTACGCTCAGTTGCACTCCTCGAAAATTCCTGTCAATCCCCGAATTGTTATTACTTTACTTATACTTTAAAATGTTTGTGGGTCGTCTACGTTTTCTCACTTTTGCCAGCAGAAGGTCGCCGGCTCAAATTCACAAGCAATGCTAGCAAAGTGGAAAAGAATTGGGAGGCAGAACTAAAATGTGTCCAATGTATTCTTTGGGTTGAGTTGCATTGTGGGTTAAGCGAGTAGACAAGCAAGTAAGAGGTTCTAGTCGGGAGCTCCCGACTAGGGGATACCCTGAACCCTCTTCTTCCAACATCAAATGCATATATATATTCTATTTTAGAAGCTATATGTCAAGTTTGGTGACTCTAGCTCTTATTATTTACCAAAATTGCCCAAAAAACAGGATATCGATATCAATTCTTATCGATTGCTTGGACACGGAGTAAGTTATCGATTATCGGAAACAAACTCGATCTGCGCAGGCACTAGGAGCACCTACATCTAATCTATTTCAAGTCTATAGCTCTATTAAGTTCTGAGATCCTTGCGTTCATACATACGGACGGACGGACGGACAGACGGACATGGCTAGATCGACTCGGCTATTGATGCTGAACGAGAGTATATATACTTTGTGGGGTCGCAGAAGCTGCCTTTTGCTTCTTACATTCATTTTCACAAATACAGTATACCCTCTCAACCCATTTTTAATGGGTCCAGGGTATACATATGACCCTGACGACGCAGAGTATTTGCTTCTAGTGCAAATTGAAATTAATTCGAAATTGCAAATTTTTCATTATATTTATTTGTCATTAAAGGACATCAAACTTGCGAGGCATATTTGGCATAGCACATTTTGGCTTGTGTGAAATTATAAGAGCCTCTTAACATAATTAATGATGCATAAATTGTTGATTAGCTAATTAAAGTTGTTCTCGCAATTAAATGACACTAAGCAGATTACACACGCCGCAGGGAGAAAAGCTAAAAAAAAAAATGAAATGGCGCATAAAACGTGGCAAACCAGAAGCCCCTTATCTATGTGTATTAATTTCTGTCATTAGATATGCCGGAGAAATGATTAAAAAATAAAATTCCACAAAAAAATAAAAAAAAAACTCGCTGCCAAGCAACAGAGGCAAAAAAAAAAAAGAAACGACAAGAAACAAATTAAAGCCGACTCGGCTCGGCTGTTTGCATTTTGAATATTAGAGTATATTTTTATGATGAGACCGCATCTAAGTAAATCTAATACTTGCCTTTCGTTTTAATAGGCTTCATTTTATTCTTTTGTGCTTTTAATACGCGCACAGCCCAAATCCCTTTTATGTTCTCGAGTTACCAACCTGTCCTCGATGGATATTTGCCTTAAGCTTCGCTGCCTGCCGCCTCCCCTTTGCCCCGTCAAGTGGCTGAGGAAAAGTTTAACACTTGCGCCACTCGGCAACCTAAACTCGGCCAGTATATATATTTAGTATATGACTATCAGACACTCTGGCCTGCCATAAAAAAGGAAAAAACAAATAAGAGTGCTTCAATGGGGAGTGCCCGACTGACAAATACCTCTTGTAGCCAAACATTCTAGCTTCCTTTACATACAAACCAATACAAACATCTGTAGAGAAGGTGGACGTGCTTCTTCTTCCAAGGAGGCCCACATTATGTTCGTGGCTTGTATTCTTGATTTACTTTGACCTCTATAGTGTGATCTTTAAGAAACTTTCAGGGCTCGAATATAATGTACATAAATAAGCGCAAGAAATGAGGAAATGTATCCCAAAAGTGAAAGACTTTAATTTCTATAAACTTTACGGGAATCAGGCAACAAAATCGATATCTATCGATTATACGAAAATGGGACAACATATCGAGAAAATGATAAATGATAATATATATCGAATATAAGGTCTCCGGCACAAACCTCTCGACTCAGCTGTTCGTCTTGGGTCACAAATACTTGCCTTCTGGCTGTTACATACCTATGCACAAAACCAAACTACCCCTTTTACGTGCGTTCAATGGCTGCAGTATATAAAAGAATACGGCATAAACACAAGAAATTGACCGTCATTTGTTTTCTTGACACTTTGAAGAGCGCCCAGGCTCCGAGGCTTATATTTTGTGATGTACCCAAACAGCCGAAAACGGGTTAAGTCTCCACGAGAGACGACAATAGATACTCTGCAGCAGCGCGTCCCAACTTTGCATAATGTCGGCCTGTCGTCCATTGTTTGTCACTAAATAAGTCGCCAGATGATATTTATAATAGCTCATTATCGCTTCATTCCATTTTTTTTTTTAGCACATTGTGAAATATGCTAGCTGCGGCCCATTTATCATAATCAAAGGCTGGCCACGAGCTCAAAGTCGACCTTCAAAAATTGGTTGAAACTCTACAGTCTACCAATTATTATTGATGAGTAGCATTAAGTGTCTGTCTTAAGAGAATTCCAAAGCTAATTAAACGATTGCATTGTCATTTATTCAAATGCCTCGAACGCAGCTCACGAATTGCAATTAATTCCACTTACAACTGACAAAATCAGTTAGTAAGTTTCTGCAAAAAAGTTTGTTAAGCTCGACTCAGTTCTAGATATGCATAAAATATGTCTTAAGGAAATGACTTAAAATCAAATTAAATTTAAATTTCTTTCTATACGCTACTCAATAGTAATTTTATCCTCTTAAATATATTAAAATCATTTTAAAAAGTTGTTGCTTACAAAAATATAAGTTGAATTTCTTAACTAACATTTAAAGATTGGCTGACTTTAAGCTCCGCATATTAAATGCCCTTCGATAGTAAAGCTTTAAACATAATTTCAACTTTTTAAATTGAAACTTAAAGAGTTTTCACTGCGTACCGTTTGCCGCAGATAAGTCGCATATTTGAACAGTTTGAAATTTATATTTAAATATTTAAGTTGAAGCACTTTCCATGCGGCTGATTGCCGCAGATAAATTGGCAAGCGATTTAGTCTGAGGACAATCAGAGTGGAGTTATCAAAGCAAAGAAATCGCAACCGGCTATAAAAACAGAAAAGTGCGTGACTTTCGTCTCAATTCCTGATGGACAGCTGAATTATATATACATATATATTGTAGGAAGGAAAATTTACACTTGAATATTGTTGCAGCTGTCTGTAAATGTTTGACAACAGGCTAGCCAGTCAATGCTAAACTCTATTCGTGCGTGTATTGGCCAATACAATTTAATTAATTACTATCGTATGTAGCGCAGACCTCAGAGCCAGCAACTGTTTACAGATATTGAAGAATCTGTGGCATTAATGCTTAGCCCAGAACAAAGTAAAAACAAATACTTGGCAGTTTATTCGCCCTACGGACTGCTCCCGTTCCCCGTCCCCCGTTCCCCGTCGCTTTCTGTCTTTGTGGTCCGGCAATGTCAATAAAAGTTTTCGCTTGCGTTTATTTAGTCTCAGATCTGTGGGGCTAAATGTAAATGAAGTTGTGTGTGCTGAGCTGCAACAACTTGTTAAATGCATTCATTTGCATTTCGCTTGACTGCATTCAAATAACTTTGATTAAATGCGCTGGCCAAAAGACAAACGATCGCCCATAAAAAGTATACCCCACACACATATATATACAGAGCTAACGAAATTTTGGTAAATTTGCGGGCGAGTCGCAAACTGATAGATAAAGTAATAAAATAATGGTTTATGTGTCTCGCTTTCCTGTTGGAAGGCAATTCAATAAATTTAAAGCGCAAACATGGCGATCTGGCAACTCTATATCGGCCAGAGTTGACACTGCACATGCTACGCATTATTCAATTTATGCACTTAACGATAGAGTCAACACACACACGCGTTGACGTCGCCGCATTTACCGCAGCGGCAACTGTGCGTATACGCAATTTAATTTTCAACAATCCTTTCTGTCTCCCTCTCTCTCTCTCTCTCTCTCCGACGCCTGCTTAACCCTGTTGGGCGTGTGAAAGATGCGCGGAAATGAGATTGCTGCGGCTTTAATTTCATTCGAATTCGCCCTGCAAACCATTAATGGAGATTTAAGCTGGCGCCACGTTTCAGGCAACAGATAGATGGACTTCATTTGGCTGTACATATAAAAGAGTTTTTCCTGACAGGTGATCAACTTGTAAGAGGAAGGCAGCAGATTGGTTTAAGGGCGAAGTTCTGGACACTTTAATCTTTAATAGGAGCTAGCTGCAAGATTTTGATGGTTAAAGTTCGGACCAAGAAGCGATAAGTCGTTGATAGGAATGTCAGTTTCAGTCAGTTTTTTGAATCGTGTGACGCCGGGTAATTTCTGCCTAGTACATTATGTAAATCTCAGTGCCAGGCAGGCTTTTGTAGTTGGAGAAGTAACATCAAATCATTTATATGGAATATAATTTACTGATTCCCGTCAAACAATAGAAACTTACACCAAAATTGTTTTTTTGAATATTTAATCGATTTGTGAAGCATATCTTCACAACGCCTGCAATGAACCAACAGCCACGACTCTTCGCCCGTCAACTGAATCCCGGCGTCATACTTACCCAAGAGCTGAAAATGAAGATATTCAACTATGAATCGCTCAATCGCGAGAAGTCCCAGCTGGAGACCGAGATCAGTCAAATTCGCAAGCAACAGGATAGCATCGAGGACAAGCTCGCCGAGGCGCTGGCCGAGGATGAATTCCAGCGCTGTCTGCACGGTCGCATGTCGTCGGGTCCCAACGACAATGAGGTCCTCGACATATTCAAGAAACATCTCAGCAGCACTATCGACAAATTGGCCAGCAAGTATGAGCGTAAAATTTATCTGGACATTGACCTGCAGAAACTAAAGATGACCATCGAAAAGGAAATCATGAAAGTCAACGAAGAGGCGGCTGCAGCAGATGCTGCATCAAACTAATTAAATATACGAGCCATTTAGCAGCACATGGTTTTCAAACCAGAACCCAACTGAAATTCTCGTTGCAATCGTACATCATCTATCGAGACAAGTTCTCATATTTTGGCACAAATTCTAAAATATTTACTCCCAGACTTCAATTCCATTCAAGCTCCTCGCTGATGTAACACTTTCACTGAGATTGCTTGCCTATTTTATTATCTATCTTATTTTTTTTTTTTAAATTTTGAATTGATCATCCTTTATTTTTAGTTACAAACACATTCAATGTTCTCGACTGCTGCCACTCTACAAAGCATGTATTACCACGCATATAAATAAAAATCAACCTAGGAAAATATGTTATGGTAGAATTTCCATAATTATTTGTATCTGATGACTTTGAAATTGATTTGAGGCTTTTGCTTAAGGATGTGTCTTTGTATACCCAAGAAGAGTAAAAAAGTGAGCTTAAATTTTGAACATAATACATTTCACCGGGCAACGCCGGGCAATTCTAGAGCACAATAGGTTTAGGTCGGGCTTATATCCATTTGGGCTCGAATTTCGTTTCGATTCCAGAATTTCAATTTGATTTCTTTATTAACCTGAATAGTTGGCCGATTCTTCATGAATTCAGCTGCTTGATTTTATAAAAATAGCCTGATTTCACCGGGCAACGCCGGGCTATTCCAGAGCACAATATGTTTGGGTCGGGCTTATATCCATCTGAGCTCGAATTTCGTTTCGATTCCAGAATTTCAAGTTGACTTTTTATGAAACAAAATCTTTCGCCTATTCTTTGTGGATCTAGATGTTTACTTGCTTTATGAATACCCTGTAATTTTCTTCGTTAGCGCTCTCATTATTAAATATGATGCTCGTGACAGTTCCCTTGGCTTTTCACTTAACAATCTGCGCCTTTAGTTTTTCATTTTGCAAGACTGCCGCTGCTGCTGCTGTTGTCATTCATATGCAAATGATGCTCGAACCGTCCGAGAAAATTGCAATGAATTTAAATTGCCTAAAACTGTGTCCTTTCGCAGCACAGCGGGTGGCGCGGTGGGCGGGTGAGCGGGCAGGCTCGGGATGCACTAAGTGAGAACAGAAGAAAAAAAAAAAGGAGAAATTTGTGGGGCGCGTGTTCTAATTAATAAGGCCACGTCGACGGCATCATTGCCGTTTGAGCCCAGAGATTTTTTGCGCTGCACGAATTTCCCAGCGGCATTTGCCGAATGCAAAATCAACACACACACACACACACACACACACACGCATACAATAATAAGAAAAGCGACGAGCAGTTGAGCTTGCGAAAAAAAAGACAGAAAAAAATACAAAAGTAAAATGAAACAAAAGAGAAATAGAGATATCTCATTATGGACAAAGCAGGCCAAACGAGCATTGCCACCATCAAGGCACACACACACTCACACACACATATACACACACAGGAAATGAAATGAAATGAAAAAATTATGCGAAAAGCAGGCATAGGCCATTCTTTAGGCCTTGTTGTAGGTATATGTATATTTATGAATTTGTTTACAACGAGCCACTGGACAACTGGCCCAAAGTCTGTTGAAATTGTACTTGTCCTTTTTTGTTTTTAATACCTTGTAAGCAAAATGCGTAAATGGGGTATGCGTAAATTGAGCATTAGTATGTAACATGTAAAGAATTTGCTATATTTAAGGCTCTACTTTGTGGTTTTTGACACCGGAAACTTGATGTATGTGTATGAAATGTGTTTGCTGTCAAATCGCTTGATTGACTGTTTGACTGATGTATGAGAAATCTACAGATATATTTATATATATATATATCTGAATTGTTTGTTCAATGACCCTCAAAGAACTATGCCAAGTTTTCGTCCCTTGCAAGTACTTATAATACTTGTATACTTGTAATCAATAAGTACAGGGTATGTGCCGGCTGATCACACACTCTATCGCGCTTATTGTTCCCATTTGGGGCACACGCGTGCCAAATATAATCAGAATATAATAAGCAGCTCTTGAAGAGGCGCAAACAAATGAGGCATATCATGATTTTACCCCGGGCTGAATGTGCTCGACGATTTATATTCAGGTTTTATTTGCCTCGTCTTTGTTTGCCCCGCTGCGAAAATTAAGCAATTTTCTAACATTCGACGATGCGCTTAGGGTGGGCAGCGTCCCTCCTCCATATAGTTGGCGTAGTTCACAAGCATTTTCTTTTTTATTTTGTAGCTTCATCGGCTTTGCACACTTTTAGGTTATCATCGGAATGGCACAAAGCCGGATTACATAAAGGATTTGCGGCTCTTTACAAGGCATTACAACTCGTATTCCCAGCTATCATTTCTCTCTCTCTCCCTCTCTCTCTTTTTGTATTTTTTAATACAAAGCAACAGTCGCCGCAGGGGGCAGTCCTTGAACCTTTCGAGTCGTGCCTATCGCCATGCAAATCGCCGGGCAATTTGCCTGAGCAACTCGACCATCAGTAGATGGTCAGCCAGAGATTAGATCCCACCCATTGTTGGCCTCGCAGAACTCTCCTGCTACTGTTCGCCAAATATTTACACTGCCAGACGAGTTGTTGTTACCGCCGCTTTAATAACTTAACATAGTTCTTTGCTGTCGCTCATCAAAATTCACGGCTAGTTTTCACCTTGTGGCCGCATAATTAAAAATATACACACGTGCCGCATAGTCTCTGCCAGGTAGTTTATGTCGTGGCACACGGCGTATGAGTGCTGCGTAGTCTTTATGATGCGTACTTATTTGCGCTGGCTCGTGAAAGTTAAAACCCCAGCAAACTGCACATCATCATTAAGGCCAACAGGGCTATAATGCCTTAACAAGATTACAATGCTGTATATTTACTTACCACAAATGGAAGCGTCTGCTGCTGCTGCTGCTGGTGGATAATAAAGTCGTTGGGTCGAGCAGAAAAGTCGTTTTAATTGCACTTCTTCAACAAAGCAAGAAAGCAAATTGAAAGCAAACAACAATTCTTATTGTGCAGGCGAGTAAAAGTGAATGTGCATGTCCTTTTCTTAATTATAATTGCAATCATTCAAGTTATTCATTTAATACAATTAATTTAAAACGGCGACGCAGCAAACCTTTAACATTGACCTCAATGCCAGCTGAAGCTATTTTTGGCCTAGACTCGGGTCACAGATTGAACTGATTTCTTTGACCTAAAGAAAGGAAACAAAATGGAAAGAGTTGAGCTGCAAGGAATTGAAATTTAAGACATTTATACCATAGGAAAATGCTTTTCTAAAGGGAAAGCGAGAAAATACCCCTGGCTTTGCAATAGCCTAAATAGGGAATGATTATTTTTATGTAAGCTATATGATATTGTTGTCGGAGTTGAAGTTGCGGAGAAGTTAAGAGAAGAGAGAAGCTTGCAGTCGCTTGAAGAGCAGAAAGATGTTAAGATATCTTAATAGCTGTATAGATTTTATAGTAGGTGATTCTGATCAAATATGACCCAATCCTGTCGATGATTTCTCTACATATGATATACCATGGCTGAGGCTATTTTTGACCTGGACTCAGGTTAAAGATAGAACTGACTTGCTTGAGCTGAAGGAAAGGCCGCTGTGAGAAGAGTTCAGGTGCAAAGAATTAATATTTAAGACCTTGAACGGAGAACATGAATATAACCTTGGCTTTGCTTTAATTCCAAATGATTGTTTGTTTTTATGATATTGTAGTTGGACATGGATTTGCGAATAAGTTAAGAGAAAAGCTTCTCAAACAAAAACTTATTTGTCTACCGATTCTTCTTATTGAGCTATATGCTATATGCTAGAAGTAAGATATTGAAAACATCCAATAATAATGCCAGGACTTGTTAAGATAAGATATTTGTATAATATAGCAGTAGATTCTAATAAGATTTGTGACCTTATCCCGCCGATTGCATTAACAGTCGATGGCAGTCATAAGTCATGGGGTCAGTTCCAAGCGAACCTCAACTTTGCCTTTTACCATTCATTTGCGATTTTCATCAAGTAGTATTCCCCATAGTTACTCGTAGAAACTTTTCATATGGGGAATTACAAGCTCTTTGAAATCTATTAGAATATCTGCCATATATAAGTGGATTATAAATAAAGCGTTCGACTCTTTCCAGCAGAAATTGTGTTTCCATCTAAATAAATACACTTTTATTTCTTCAATTAATGTCAAACACATGTAAATATTTATTATTCTATATAAATCATTTACTCAGGCAATAAATTGAAATTCGCATTAAATGTCTCACATGCCCTGTCTGTAAATATTTAATGTTAAATTTGTTAGATTTTCATTGAATGCAATTTTTCATTGCTGTCAAATATTCCAACTCAATCGGTCAACGTTAAATAGGGCATTTAGCCCAAAAAACCAACAACAGTGCTGCCAAAAAGTACTCGCCCAGGTGTTCACATGTGCTTAAATTGAATTTGCCGCTTTAGCTGCATGTTTTGCTCTGTATGCAAATTCAATTTAAATCGCATTACAATCTATAAACACAGAGCAATTCGAATTCAAATACCAAATAACGCACACATGTTGCATGCAACAACAACAACAACAACAACAGAAAACTATTAAAATTAGCGAGTTTAAAAAAATGCTTAAATTTACATGCGCATATATGTATGTACATATATGTACATATGTGTGCATATGTGCATTAATATCTAACCAATTTGTTTGACAAATATTTCGGCCATGTGGAATTTAACATGCACACACACACACACGCACACACACTTACAACGGGACATTGTGACCCTCATCAATGTGAACCAGGTTTTCAAAGGACCTTCAACAAATATAGAAAACATGCGTATACGAGTATTTGATATTTTTGCATTGCCAACAAAATGGTTTTATTAAACGTTGCCAACGTCGAAATATTTAGTTTTTATATCCTGTAAAATGGATTTAAAGGGGTGGTAACGACCTGAGCGGCAGCTTCGATAATGTATTTTATAGTTAGATAGATAATAGATCCAAGCCAGAAGAGAATGTGCCTAATGTGACATAAAACTGTCGCTAAAAACTGTTTTTGGTGCTGATTGACTGATTGACAATCTAATTGATTGATTGGGCTGAGTTTTGAACAGAAGTAAGGACTAGGCTCTGGTTTTTGAAAAATTTGTGCTTATGGACAGGAAACCTTTTTATTTATTTTATTAAGAGTTACATTTACAAAGAATAACAGCTAGAGCTTTGGGAAAAATAATTTGATTGCCTTTGTGTTTTGATAAAATTCGTTAAAGAAGCTCGAAACTGTGCCATGAGTTCCGTTTACAGGGCAGCTCGCCAGCTTGGCATTTGTAATTGTTTTCTTTGCCCGCGTTGTGCCACATCGTTTGGCTCCG